CTTTTTCTTTCCTTTTCTCATTTTTTTTATTAAAATTAGAAACAAGATTGTTTTACATGTCAATCCCAGTTCCCTCGCCCTCCCCTTCTCCCCCTGCCCTCCATTAACACCCTACCTATCTCATACCATTTCTGCTCCCCAGGGAGAGTGAGGCCTTCCATGGGGGCTTGTCAGAGTCTATCATATCCTTTGGGATTGGGCTTAGGCCCTCCCCCATGTGTCTAGGATGAGGGAGTATCCATTTATGTGAAATGGGCTTCCGAAGTCCATTCCTATACTATGGATTAGTACTGATCTACTACAAGAGGCTTCATAGATTTCCAAGGCCTCCTCACTGACTCCCGCATTCATGGGGTCAGGATCAATTCCATGCTGGTTTCTCAGTGGTCAGTCTGGGGGCCAAGACCTCCCCTTTGTTCAGGTCAGCTGTTTCTGTGGGTTTCACCAGCCTGGTCTTGACCCCTTTCTCTCATCACTCCTTCTCTGCAACTGGATACCAGTTCAGTTCAGTGTTTAGATGTGTGTATATGCTTCTACTTCCATCAGCTGCTGGATGAAGGCTCTAGACATTTAAGGTAACCTCTCCTCTGTTGCTTAGATTATTAGTTGGTCTCATCCTTGTAGATCTCTGGACATTTCTCTACTACCTGATTTCTCTTTAAGCCTATAATGGCTCTTTCTCTTATGGTATCTCTTTATTTTGCTCTCTTCTATTCTTCCCCCTACACAACCTTCCTGCTCCCTTATGTTCTCCTCATCTCTCCCTTTCTGCCCTTCTTATTCTTCTAGCTCTCTCTCCCCTCCCCCATGCTCCCAATTTGCCCAGGAGATCTTGTCCCTTTCCCCTTCTCTGGGGGACCATGTATGTCTCTCTCAGAGTCCTCATGGCTTCCTTGCTTCTCTGGAGGTGTGGATTGTAGGCTGGTAATCCTTTGCTCTATGTGTAAAATCCATATATGAGTGAGTGCATACCATGTTTGTCTTTCAGTAACTGGGTTACCTCGCTCAGAATGGTTTCTTCTAGTTCCATCCATTTGCCTGTGGATTTTAAGATTTCATTTTTTTTTCTGCTGAGTAGTACTCCATTGTGTAAATGTACCACATTTTCTCTACTTAAATGACCTCCCCTGATAATGACTTTAGTCATTAGATTGATGAATAACTCACATGCCATCCTAGAGCCCTCATCCAGAAGCTGATGGAAGTAGAAGAAAAGTAAATTTTCCTTTGAAGTGGTTATCAGCTGGAGATGGTGTCTGTGTTATAGATGGGGGAAAGGGTTTACCTTTCCTCTTAGTTTTAAGACCATGTCTCTATATGGTGCAGACCTGTACAGATGCTCTGAATGTTACTACAGTCTCTGTTGGCTCATATATGCATCAATTGTGTTGGATTTATATGCCCCTGTTTTCTTTCTGTCTTTCATCTCCTCTGGCTCTTGCACATTTTCTGTCTCCTCTTCCACAGAGTTCCCAGAGCCCTGAGTGGAAGGATCTGAAGGAGTTATATCCTTTGTAGGGCTGGTTGTACCAAGGCTTCTTACTTTCTCCACATTGTCTGGCTGTTGATCTCTGCATTGATTCCCATCTACCATTGGAGGAAGATTCTCTGATGATGGCTGAGCATAGAAGTGATCTTTGAGTAGTACAGAATGGCATGGTCATTTTATTGTTATTCTCTTTTTAGCAAACCACTACTATATGCTTTTATCTTAGGTTCATATCTTAATTAGTACCAGGTTTTTGTCTACCCACCCAGTGTTGGGCATGGATTTTGTCCCCTGAAGTGTGCCTTAAATAAAATCAGGTATTGTTTGGCCAAGAATTTAATTAGCTGTAACATATTCCTGGGACTGGAAGCGTCATTTGCTGATGAGAGGTAGCCAGTTGGGGCTCTGTCTTCCCTGTTATTTAGAAAGATACACATATAAGTATATATTTTAGGATGCTTCTACTGTATTAAGGTTACACATACCTTCTCAAATGACCATTATTTTTACCTGTTCCTCCTTCTATTCCCTCCTTTGCTTCTTCTTATCTCTTACTCCCTGTTTGATCCTCTTCTTCCAGCCCCCATGCCATCTGTCTATAACCATTTTTCCTTCCTTCAACATCCACCCCTAAGTCTCTTACTCTATCCCTATCCTCTGTGGATATATGGATTATATCTTGCTTACCAGTTACATATAACTGAATATATATCATATATTCCTTTCCTTCTGCCTTCTCTTGTAAGATGTTTCTTAAGCTTTTGTTAGTGAGATGCTAATAGAGCTGCTGCCTCCACAGCTCAGCATCCAGTGTGATTTATAGTCTAGTCAACAATTTTGAAAAACAACAAAGTGGATGAACAAGAAAGTTGTAGTACTCATACTTCCAAGTTTCATAATTTCCTGCAAAGCTGTAGTGATCAGGATAATGTGTTATGGAGTAACTGTGGACAAATTAGAGATATAGAACAAGTACAAAGGTAAACTCTGACCTCATGGCCAATTAATTTCAACAAATCTTTCAACAGTATACAAATAAGGAAAGAATCATCCTCCCATGGGTAACTCAGGAATGACTGCTTATGAATAGGGAGTAATTGTTTGCCCTTTTATAGATACTCAAAAATTACCAATATGAAAGTAAAAATGTTTGATTGTCATTCCCTTTGAATTGAAACTTTCTTTTTTGGGGGAGTAGGGAGGCTCATGTGTACACAAGAAAACTCACATGTCTGGGAAAACTTAAACTTCCAAGATTCACAAGACCATCCTGAATGTCATAGAGGTAGTAAATAATTGCTACAGGGAGGATTCTTACCAGCTTAGCTGCCTGGAGTTCATTCTCCCACCTATTTAGGTAGCTTCTAGTTTTGCAGACAGCTCCATCATGCAGTTTTTAATTGGTCACCAAGGTTATGGCAGGCCTTTTGAATATGTAGCTTTCTGTTATTGTTATATAGTTGAGTGTATTCCCTGAACTGTACTGAAGTAAATCAAATGAGCACATGGTTCTTGACTTGATTTCTGTGATAAAATGCCATGACCAAAAGCAACCTGTGGAGGAAACTTTTTAGTTCATTAAAGGGGTGGGAAGGAATATAAGGAAGGAAGAAAATATGTAGTTAAATTTAAATTTAAAAATATATATTAAAGGAAAAAGAGAATGCCTTCTTAACATGATTAGTTTCTTTCCTTCTGTTCAATTTACTCAACAATGACAAAGCATCACACTTTAACCTGTAATATTTTAAGTCACTGTAATACTCTGGAACATTCAATGATGCTTAAAATAATTTTGTTGGCTCCAAATTCTGTGTGTGTATGTTGAAAAAAGGGGTAATATGGGTGTGGGGTGGGGAGGGACCATGGATGTTACAAGAATAGCACCAAAATAAATGCTTGTCTAATGCAAATAACAAAAATTCTAAGTCTCTGTGAATAAGGACATGGAATAAAGAGAGGTGAATTAATACCCAACAATTGTATTTTATATACCTATGTCAGTTCTAACACATTTTGAGGATAATCTCACTTAATTTATATGTTACAATGTGAAGTTCATTTATATTACATTGCATTGTTATTGTTATTATTTATTGTGATACAGGGATAGATCTATACTATTATACATGTAAGAGAGTACTACCACTGAGATGTAATGCAAGCCTTTTCTTATGAGTTTCAGCTTATATATATACAGACAAATACACAGATACAAGTATAAATAAATAAAGGTTAGTGAAGTTGCCATTACTACTTACAGATTCAGTGTGAGGAATTTGGAAAGTCTGGGTATAAATTATATATATATATATATATGTGTGTGTGTGTGTGTGTGTGTGTGTGTGTGTGTACATAAATTCTATTTATATCTTCCAATCTAGCATTATAAAACATTTTAGAATTTTAATCTGTTATCTACTATGTATTGATACAATCCTTGCTGTTTATTAGAAAATACTAATAAAGCATGTGGTAATCCATCAATTTTATTCTTGAAATGTGTGCAGACAATTGTTATGACAATTCCAAAAGGAACCACCCAGTAATTTGTCAACCAGTAGTTCTGATGGGGATTTATAAAGTGAGCAAAACTTGAGTCTCAAATGAGGCAACATTATGTTTATGTACATGATGTAAACATGGGCTCAGTGATTCCATCACTCAAGGGACTCATGAAACCTGGGAGGAAATCTTAAAGGAGAGAATAATTTTCCAGGATTCTAAACAATTTCCACAGATGCCTGCCTGGAACATGAATTGGCTTATCCCTTAAGTGAGACAACATCTTACAGTATCATAAAATTGTCTTGTTTTCCTTCTGCAGGTGAAGGTGATCTTTTCTTTTCTTTTCTTTTCTTTTCTTTTCTTTTCTTTTCTTTTCTTTTCTTTCTTTCTTTTTTTTCTGAGATAGAGTTTCTCTGTGAAACAATACTGGTTGTCCTGGAACTCACTCTGTGGAAAAGGCTGGCCTCAAAGAAAAATCTAGTAAAGAAACTGTGTTCCATTCCACAGTGTATCCCTTGTAGGTGTTTATATATAGATCTTCACAATGGCTTTCATCATCAAAGAGTTTAGACACCTGAGGTCACTGAAGAAGGGTCCATTTATTGTAGTTGCAATGAAATCTCTGCAGAACAAAACTCATCACTGACACATCTTGATAATTTTCCTTCAGTCAGAAATTTGTAAATTCTGTGGTTTTGATACTTTTTAACTATTGCTTTTTCTCATCTCTGATCATTACTGAAGAATAATGAGAAAGGAGAAAATTATATTCAAAATTCAATAAGAGTTTATCATCATTCTCTCTGGAAAGAGGCACACATCATAGCTGGGGAAAGAAGGAAATGGGGATTCCTGAGGAATCAAACTCTGTCATGTTTGTATACATTACATCATCTTCACAAATAATCGAACTTGCAAATCCAGCAACTCCAGAAATCACTGTCTGTTAAAAGACACTCTCCTTTTAATTTCATATGCTATCTCTGTTCCTACAGATGACACCATGAAGCAAATGACTGTAGAGAATAACTCTTTGGTGACTGAGTTTGTTTTTATGGGATTAACAGACCAACCTGAGTTGCAGTTGCCCTTGTTTTTTGTGTTCTTGCTGAACTATACAGCCACTGTGATGGGAAACTTGAGCTTAATGATTCTCATCTGTCTAAATGCACATCTTCATACCCCCATGTACTTTTTTCTGTTCAATTTGTCCTTTGTTGATTTCTTTTATTCATTTGTCTGTACCCCCAAAATGCTGATGGGCTTTGTTTCAGAGAAGAGTGTCATCTCTTATACAGGGTGCATGACTCAGCTATTTTTCTTTGGATTTTTTGTTAATTCTGAATGTTATGTACTGACAGCAATGGCCTATGATCGTTATGTGGCCATATGTAAGCCCTTGATGTATGCCATTCTTATGTCTCCTAGGATGTGTTCCCTGCTGATGTTTGGGTCCTATTTGATGGGGTTTGCGAGTGCCATGGCTCACACTGGCTGTATGATTAGGCTCAGCTTTTGTGATTCCAACATTATCAACCATTACATGTGTGAAATATTTCCCCTTCTCCAGCTCTCTTGCAGTAGCACCTATGCTAATGAACTTGTGAGTTCTCTTATTGCTTGCATAATTGTTATTGTATCTGGCTTTGTTATTTTAACCTCATATGCTTCCATCCTCTTAAATATTTTTCACATGTCATCAGCTAAAGGTTGGTCCAAAGCCATGGGTACTTGTGGTTCTCACATTGTAACTGTTACTCTATTCTATGGATCTGGGCTGCTTACTTATGTCAAACCAGCATCTGCTGAGTCTGTGGACCAGGGGAAATTTTTCTCAGTGTTTTACACTCTCATGGTGCCCATGCTGAATCCTCTCATTTACAGTCTCAGAAACAAGGATGTCAAACTTGCTGCAAGGAGAACCATGATGAGAATCAGAAGCACAGTGAAGAAGTGTGTTTGCAGTAGTCTTTGACTACATTGTAAGATCCTCTCATTTTCTGCACAATTACCTCCTTCTATTTTTCTTTTTCCTTTCTTTCAACAGTGTGGTCAGAATTTCTACTGTAACACATAAACAGGCACACACCCAGACACACACAAACACAAACACACACACTTGTCATCAGTTGTGATATCTTTTGCCCTGTACTTGACTTGAGACTCCTCTGGACTCTCAAGATTATCCACCCTGATCTTCACTACCTGTACCAGATAGTGAAGTCTTTAGCCTGACATATTTTCTATACCTAAAATAATACATTTTGTATATTTTCTTTTATATTTTCTCTATTAAAATAAATTCATGGGATGATTTTGAGTCCTAGAAATTGTAGCCTGGAAGCCAAGTTTGCAGCATTGTAGCTCCAAGCCTTTTTATTGCTGGTTTGTTTCTAAGATAAGTACATATTTATTGTAAAAAATAGTATTTATGCAAAATAGTATTATTTGTGCAAAAATAACTGATAGAGTTATGAAGAAACAAAGACCCTTTCTCAGAGTTGTTTCGTTATTGGTCTAAATAAGGATGTATGAGAATGATCATCTAGCCATGTTGCCTATAGTACAAAGTTTTAATAGCCAATTGGTGAATAGAAAATGCTCCCACAATAGCATTGTTTTTGAAGTAAGGCGATTAGAGCAAACAAAAAAGTGACACGTCACCTTGTTTCTTTAGATTATTGATCATTCTTCCAAGGATGGTGAAGCTGAGTGTTTGGTTCAAGACTTTTTGTGAAGCTTGTCAATATTTGTGTAATAAAATATGTACATTAAGAAGCCTACCAGATGTTATGTCTTTCCCGTAAAAGCAAAGTTATTTGTTCACAATAATATTAATAGAAAATTATGCACTAGAAAAATTTTCACTACAAAATTTTCTTGTGTATCTAGTGTAGAGAGTTCATTGTCATTTTCTATCTAAACCATACCTGAATTCAAAGAACGTACTAAATAGTGGAGATACAATAGTCTGCTAACAATGATTATTCAAACTGTAATTCTTATATTTACTTGAAGATCATTATATTTAAAAAATATGAAATGATAGATTAGTAAAAAAGATCAAGTTAAGAACTTTAATCCAGCTTGCTTAAAATTATTATTATTAGGTACTGAAGCAGTTATATCCGTTATAATGTTTTTTATTTAAATACAGTAAATTTTCCAAGCAAAGTATGAATACCTGGGATGTAGTTGTTTTGTTTTCACTTGTTATAGTAAAGCTATTAAAATGGTTTGGCTTAAATGTTGATTACATACTCATTTTAATGAAGGCATAGACTGATATTTAAAGACACTGAATAGGTTGTAAAACATTCCTTTTCCAGGAACCTTGGGAACTTAGAAAATATAAAACAGGAGTCACAGGAAAAGAATGTACTCTCTAGTCTGAGTGCAAAGTTGTAGATGGAAATACTATGAACAAATAGTCTGGGCTGAGTTTTGTCAAGTCAAATAGGCTGATCATCCTATATTTGGTAATAGTATGGATAAACTATTACAATTAGATAAGTTATAGATAAATAATTAAAAGCATAATTTAAAAACTGACATTGCAAAAATTAGTTGATGCATTATTTTTTAAAGATAAACTCATTTGACATTAGTATTTAGAAGTACTGTATATGTATTTGTTAAAAATATGGACATAGTCTATGTATATTTCTTATCTAATTTGTGCATCATTATATCTCTAGTTACATAGTTAAAACCATAAACATTGTTTCATACTCCATATTAACAAATATTAAGTGCATATTAAATCTATTTTAAAATAAAATCTTCATTACATTCATTATTATATCTCAGGTGTCAATAACATAATGTGCAGCATCTTCAGGCTTAATGGTCAAGGAAACTCTGACGTTTGAAATCTCATGATTCTCCCTAACAATGGCAGTGTGGTTATCTCTGACTCGTTCACCTGCTCTTGAGACTCTTTCCGTCCTCCTTGGTTGCCTTTTCTAGCCTTAATATGAGGTTTGTGCTTAGTCTTACTGAAAATTGTTCTGCCCTGGGAAGCCTGCTTTTTCTGAAGGAGATGGAGGAGTAGTGAATCTAGGAAAGATGGGAGGTGGGGATAGTGGGAGGAGTGGAGGGAGGGAAATGTGGTTGGGATATAATATATGATAGAAGAATTTAAAAAAGAATAAATATTATAATGCAGTTAGAAATATAAAATTATGTTGGTTTAGGAAAATGGAGGTAGTAATTTTTCTCTTGGGGTTTATGATCTTATTAGCTATGGATCATTGTCTAGGTTTACAGTACTAAGTATGAAGCCCCTTTTATTGGGCTTTATATTGGACCTTCAGTCCAATTAGATAGCTATTAATATTACAAAGATAAAACTTCCACTTTTGCACCATTGAGAATACTTTTATTCCAGGCCACATATTGTTTTGGTTCACAGCCTATATGATTGGTAGAAATATTGCTATTTCTCCTTTAGCTTGCCTAGTACCTTCTGATACTATTATGGCTGGTCTTTCTAGAATACACTACAAACTAGCTTAAGAGGGAAATTTAGAGTTTTATTGTTCCTTCATTAAAAAATCAGAAGAATTACAAATAAATGACTCAATGATACAAGTCAAGAATTTGGAAAAGTAGAATAAATCAAACACAAAGTCAGTAGATGGGAAGAAAAATAAAATTCAGACCAGAAATTAATGAAATGGGAACAAATAAAACAATACAAAGAAACAAAAAATCTAAGAGCTGGTTCTTTGAAAAGATAAACAAGACTGACAAATCCTTTGCCTGATTAATCAAATGAAAGAAACAGGAAACTCAAATTAACATAATCACAAATGAATAGGGAAACATTACAATGGACATCAAAGAAATTCAGAACATTATAACACAATAATTTCAAAAGCTATGTTCCATTAATGTAGAAACCCTAAATAAAATCGACGACTTTCTATTTTCATCCAAAGAACCAAGAATAAAGCAGGATGAGATAAACAGATTAACACAAAAGACTCATCACATATACCCACCTTCCCCACACAAAAACAAACCCCACAAATTTGGAAAAATTAATATACATGCACATACCATTAAGTTAAAACATTGCCCAAACAATTTGAGACAAAAAAATCTACCAAAATACCAGTAAGTGTGTTTCATTTTGGCCTTGTACCATTGGGCATGGAGCCTACCCATAGAGTTTTTATACCCAGTGAAACTCCATTTGAAGAAACTTATGTGTCTTAAAATTTTAAAGTCAGTAAAAACTGAAAGAGCACATCCAGCTTCCTTTATGAAGCCAGTATCATTCTTATACTAAAATCAGGTAAAAGCACAACAAAGAAAGAAAACTACAGACCAATAGTCCTGACAAACACAGAAGCAAAACACCTGAATAATATATTTGCAAACCAAATACTGAAACGTATTTCCCAGTGTGCATTTGTTAGTCACATTGCTCTAGTTCTTCCTAAATTTCTGTTGTGTTTGTGGGTCTCAGCCAGATACCACCTTAGATGTTATATTCTTACTGATTGTTGGCAACTTCAATTTCAGATATTTTGGAGGACTATGAAAAGAGCAAACAGCAGTAGTGGCCATGCATTAGAGCATTCCTAAATTGAGATTTATTTTGCTCTTCTTATGATCAGAATGGGTGTATGTGTTTTTAAACTTTGAGTTTTTTTATTTCAGACATTATGTACTTAATGTCTATAAGAGAAATATGAATTATTCCATATTTTAATAACCTTCCCTCCCACATCTGACAGAGGACTGATTTCCAAAATATATAAGGAGCTCAAGAAGCTAGCCACCAAAACACCAAACAATGAAATTAAAAGGTGGGGTGCAGAACTAAATAGAGAATTCTCAACAGAGGAATCTGAAATGGCTGAAAGACACTTAAGAAAGTGCTCAAAATCATTGGCCATCAGAGAAATGCAACTCAAAACAACTCTGAGATACCACCTCACACCTGTCAGAATGGCTAAAATAAAAAATACCAATGACAATCTATGCTGGAGATGATGTGGAGAAAAAGGAACACTCCTCCATTGCTGGTGGGAGTGTGAACTTGTAAGACCTCTCTGGAAATCAGTATGGCGGTTACTCAGAAAAATGGGAATCAGTCTACCTCAAGATCCAGCCATTC